ATTCGCCTCCCGCCAGGGACCTGACCCGTTGGGCCTAATGAGCACGTGAAATTTGACGTACTTGTAGACACCCACGCCGTACATCATGCGACTATCAATATTCTTCAAAAATTATATTTTAAGCACAATATCGAAAACTATATCAACTCATCACAATTCAAAAAAAAAGTTGATCGAGTATCAATAACTCAATAGCAAAAACTAATTATGGGGGGAAAAGATTCGAAATTCTAAATGAAAGATAGTCCATCCTATATCATCATCATTATTCTGCCGTCGTCTTGAAAAATTCTACGTCATCATGCTTGTCTTTGATTCAAAACTGTTTTAGATTACATTAGATCCATCGCCTGAAAAAAAAGCAACAACACGAGAAATATTTGCACAAATTCATCTCGATCTTCCCCGTGTCTAACATTAATTGAGAAAACTAACAGCTTTTTGCAACATTTAAACCCCACGAAAGCAGAAGACTAACAGACTTAAAAGCCGTGTTATGATATCAGGTCCAGTTAAGTTGGATACACTCATCGGTTGCATTCAGTTTTTCTACACTCAGATAAATATATATATTCTCATTGAACTACTATCTTCTAGTTCATCAACGGAAGATATATAAACTGTAACTAATAGTCCGAAAATGTTTATTTACAAATCCAATATCTTGGAGAAGGATGGAGATATGTTAATTGAATAGTTTCACTCCATATTTGTGTCGTCAGATACAAGACAACTTTTCATCAGATTCATCGCTGTTAGTGTTTCCTGTAACTCAGCTCTAAGAACTTCGTTTTCCTGCATTTTCTTCGATTTATCCCGCCATTCACCAATACTCATTGCATGATTCGTCATTAGTGCTGCGATTTCTTCATACCGCTTTCGGAGTTCAGCATTCTGATAATGTGGAATATGATATGAACTAACTTCATAACGAATACTAACTTTTTTTTTTGCAGCAACTGCTCTCTCCAATTCATCCTGACTGTATTCTCCTGAATAACATTCCTGGTTACGAATAATTATGTGAACATACTTTCTAAATCAGAAAGTATTTTGGAGTTTCGTCCTAGCTCAGCAAGTTCTGATTCGCAGATCTGTTCAGCTGATAAACATTGCTCTAGAGCATTTTTCTTCTCATCATCTTAATCACGCACTTTTACAGTATTGAGATGAATAAAATGAACCTGCATCTTCGCTTAGTACGGGCTGTTTCGCTGCTAATAACTTTGCAGCGTTGTTCTGAGAGCATATAGAGATTAAATCATGTATTAAAGCAGTATCCATTATCTGAAACAACAGTTTTATCAAAATATTCGAAAAAGGTTCACATTAAGCAAGTTTGTGGTATTCTGCTAAAATTTTGAACTCCCGCGTCCTTGTGCATAACCGGGATAAACATTTTTCGGCTGACGGCGGTTTTTTAAAACACTCAGAACAGACATACAAGGAACATACAAGAAATCTTCGAGTATTGGTTCTGTTTGATTATTTAATTTTAATTGTTAGCAGTCTCTGATGAATTCGGTAGGAAAGTTGGTAAAATAGGGAAAATTATGAGAAGTTCTACTGTTTTCTTGAAGACTATCTGGAACATAAAAACAAATTATAAACAGAGTTCCTTTGAAGTAACTGTTGCTTTGGAGTGTTTACCGTCATGGTTCTCTCTTGATTGTTTAGAATTGTATTATGACGTTATTTTTAACCAAACAGAGAACATAGAACCTTTAAACAGATTTATGAAATAGTGTTTTTCAAGCAAACATTGTTCGTTTTTTCATGGAGTGTAGGTGATGTCAACGTTACCGCCACAAAGAATCACAGCAGCTTTCTTCACATTAAGATCTTTCAAATTGCTTTTCAGTAGGCCAGCTAGAGGAACACCGGCAGTTGGCTCAACTCTTTGCTGTATATAACCATCATTAGTAGGATAATAATGTTATCTAACTTTTGTTCGTGTCCAAATAAGCTTAACAGCTTCACTTATCTCTTCCTCCGTCACTGTTATAATGTTACTCTTACAAAACTTCTGAATAATTGGAAAACAGATTGATCCAATTTTGTGAACTCGTATGCCATCGGCCACGGTATCCAGAGCTTCTTGTTGATTTTCAAAAACACCTGTGAAGAGATATTTCCCTAGTTCCTTACCCGCAGGTTCAACGAGAAAAACTAGAAGAGCCAATAAAACTGTTAAACTGATAGAAAGGAACCTCTGATATTTGGGAAATGCTCTCCTATATAAGCTGCAACGCCGGAGGCAAGGCCTCCTCCTCCTATAGAAAGGAATACAGCATCTAAATCTGGAATTTGTTCAATCAATTCAACAGCTATGGTTCCCTAGAGAAAAAAGTTATTTCTAGAACTTAAGTAGTACAACCTGGCCATTAATGGTTTGAATAGAATCATATGGGGGTACTATCGGATATCCTAGTTCTTCCGAAAGATGTTCACATGTTTCTTCTCTTAGAGAGGTTCATAAATGATGAGTATGAAGCAAATGCTAACCTTGCTTTGATAGAGTTTTCGCAACGATGAATTTCAGCATTGTATTCTTCCATAGCGTCAATTTTAGATGTCGGAGCATTCTTAGGCACAACTACAACACACTTCAAGCCAATCTGTTCTGCTGCCCAAGCTAATGCTTGCCCATGATTTCCGGAGGAGTGTGTGATCTTTATAATGGAGATTTTACAGTTCCTTTTTATTCAACTTACTACTCCTTTGCAATTAGGATCTTGGCTAATAAGCTTGGTAGAGTTATAAGCACCGCGTGCTTTGAAGCTGCCAGTCTTCTGCAGATGATCGCATTTAAAGAAAACTTCGCAACCTGATTTCAAAAATACACCAGCTAATATATTCAAAGAAAGTACCAGCAATTCTGTTGATCGTTCTACTCGTGATTATAGGTGTTTTATGAATGGCACTGGAAATTCTTTCATACGCTTCGATAATAGTTTTCGCTGATATCATTGTCGAAACTAAAGAAAAATCAAGATTGAAAACCAATCAATACATTGTGGTTCGAAAGAAATGAGAAGAAGAGGAAGTGAAACCCATCTAAACAGGATAATGGATGTTATTAAGATTTATTTAACTTAATTATTATTATAATAGAACAAAAAGAAACAAGAAAGGCGAAAAAAACAGGCGTTTTCAAGAAGATACCATCACATATTACTGATAAGGGCGGAAGACGGAGAAAAACGAGAAAGAATGAAACAATGCTATGAAGAAAACATCTTCTCTAATCATGCTACAATGAGCAGTTCCATATTTGGAGAATAAACATAATCACAGTGGTCAAAAGCTAGGAGAGAACCGAATAGAATTCAGCAAAGGGAATGTAAAAACCAGAGTTAAAGGAACATGAAATGCTAAGTGAAAAGATGCACGAAATGAGAGGAGGTAGGGCCTCTAGTTTAAAAATCATCGAAATTACAAAGAAAACTTCACAAAAAATTATGTTACAAGGAGATACTACAGCATTCTGACTATGTTGTTACGACGGCAACCCGAACAACGCCAGCGTTGAAAACGTTTTGAAAATTATACAATTTTTTTGTAAACACACATAAATCTCTGTTAAAACTTCTTATGGAATGAGTTCTTCACTTTTTCCTAATATTAACACAAAATATATCTCTAAAATATTTTGATAAAATCAGGCTTTGTTAACCATAACTGGATGTTGATTAGAAGCATGCATTGAGCCAAGACCCGGAAGATGATGATGATTGAGACGTCTTTTAGCCAACGCAGAAGCATTCACAGGGCATAAAGCTACAGGTGCTGTCGCATTTTTTGCTCTATACGTTTGTTCTAGAGCCCCCTTAATGGCATCGGGATCTTTTGAAGCCGTTGTGGGTAAAGCTGCTTGAGGGAGGGTGTATCTTTGAGTTATCCACTGATGTTGTAAAATTTGTTTAGCTGTTGGACGTTTCAAAGAATCAACACAGAGGAGACGCGTAACCAAATCCTATAAAAAGCAATTGAGTTTTTATGCTTTCCTTCTACGTACTTTGGCAGCGTTCGAGACGTTTTCCCATTCGGTACCTTCCATACAAATTTTGCCTTCACCCATTCGTTTCAGAATATCTTCAGCTGAGTCAGTGGGTCCCATCGCAAAAGGAGTCTTTCCGGAAAGCATGGTATACAGGATTACACCCAAAGACCAAACATCACAAGAACGGTCGTAACCTTGTCGTTTTAGAACTTCAGGAGCTACCTGAAAAATAGAAAAATTGTGAGAACGAGGAAGTTTAAAGTACGAAATTGGCAGTATAGCAAGGCGTCATCAGCATTCCGTTCTCGGCCCTCGATTGTTTCGCGAAACCGAAATCAATTAGCCTCAAAGATTCTGGATCACCACTCGTAGAAGCATACATTATATTTGCAGGTTTCAAATCTCTATGTGCGACCTTTAAAAAGATGGACAAATAGTAGGAATACAACGCTTGAAATACCTGATTAGAGTGTAAATAGTGAACAGCATGTGCAAGACTTGTAAGAGTGGATGCAGCTTCCCTTTCCGTGAAAATCTTCTTTTTAATGATTCTTCAAACAAAATAGATAAATATAGAACTTGTGAACAAGTTGTACCTATCAAAAAGTTCACCTCCTCGACATAATTCCATAACCAAATTCACGTTTGTGTCATCTTCGTATACATCGAACAGCTTGACAACATTTCGATGATGACCATACCTCAGCAAAATATCTACTTCTTCACTAGCGTCCCAAGAACTTTTCTTGATCATCTAAACAATTAAATCCTCACTAATTATTCATCTACCCTCAATTTACTTTAACAGCGAACTCTCGTTTGGACGTCTTGTTCATACATCGACGAACTATTGAATGAGCTCCTTTGCCAATTTCCTGTAAACATCGAGGTAATAGAAGTTCAAAAATTGCTGAGAAATACTGTAATATATCCTAGCTCAATCCCTCTCTAAACAGTATGAACTAACAGATATCTCTCTTAAACTTTGAAACAGAAAAAAATGAGGATCAGAAATCGACAAAAGAAGAGAGCAGCTGTTTACTAAATTTTTCAGGTCACACCGATCTGTTTCGTTAATTTCAAACAGCTGATATATCTTTTCTTTAAAAAAACATAAATTAAGAGACAACCTCATAAAGACTATAATCTTTTGTGATAGGATATGTTCTGGCTGTTGGGATTGTTCGTATGTGCTTTCTATCTTCCCTTCGTTCGAGGATTTCTTCCATTGCCTGAGGACAGACAAACGAGAACCCTCTGAAAAGCTCATGGGCAGCAGCTGATGGAGGGACGGCTGGGGAGTCTGCAAAAAAAGAAGGTTATCGTCAGAATCTAAAAAACTACACGTTCTTTGTCCTTGGACAAACAAACTGAAGAGAGTGTGTGCTCATCTACTTAATCAAAACGGTACAAAACATGTTGGAAGCATAATCTAATCATGAAATTGTTAAGAAATCTCCTTCCAAACAAAGCCGCAATTCATATATCCATAAACTTCGAAAACAAGATAAAAACTAATTTTATTGCGTTCAAACCCCCAGCTTCACACTAATTTCTCTTTGTTTCTCTCAAAAGAATCAGAAGTTGTGAAGAAAAACTGCTGCTTAATCAAGAATATTGTGTGCTCATGACGTTTTTTGTTTTTTGTTTCATAAAACACGTCGACGAAAACTTCCAAATACGGCATGGCTTTCATCTCTCAAGAGGATTCCACACGAAACAACAAAGAACAAAGAACTTCAAAACAAACCTTTAGGTGTTCGCTTTGTGAATTCAGGATCGAAGTAAACCGTACTGTCGATGCTTGTAACAGCTGGCATGAACGGAGGATCGATTTCCTTGTTGAGCAGACGATCGAAGTTAATGGAACAGAAGAAAGGATGACGTTTGATTTCCTGAAAAAACTATTTGAGTACACGCGAATCCCCTCGTGTAGTCAGGTCAAGTCTCGAGAACACTTTTCACAAAACGCTTCGACTTTGAGGGACAAAGACTAAGAAGTTTGCAAAAATTGCAACTTGACGAAAGACGTCACATTTTATAAAAAGCTGCCAGCCCGCCACGTCGGCGAACCTAAACACGGCAGGCGGAATAAGTTAAGTCGTTTGACGTATTAAATGGTTTCGTAGGGAATGAGGAACGACAAAATAAAAATTCTAAGAAAGGACAATTGGCGATAAAACGTACTTGAGCTCCATCAGGTCCAGCTCCCAATCGATTTACGGCATTTCGCTTGAACAAGGCACGAAGAAGAGACTGCGCTTCAGGCGAGAGGAAAGTTGGCATCGTTAACTTCGCTCTGTAATTTGAGATTAAGATTTCACATTTGACAATCCCATGACAAGAGCATAATCATTGCCTCAATCGATAAGTGCCAAAAAGAGAAAAACAAGAGCGGATAGGTCAAGTTTACAATAAGTTACACATACTTCATCGTTAAAAAAGCGTTTAAAAAGAAAAATGACTGACTTTAAGATCAAGTTCATAGTGTCTTTTCTGTCCATTCCTTGGAATGGCAAGTTGCCTGTTAGCATCTCAAACTGCAACATATTATGACAATTGTTTTCCATTAAGAAATAACGAACCATCAAAACTCCTAGAGACCAAAAATCTGCGGCAATTGAATGTCCACGACGGTTGATAACTTCAGGAGCCATATACTCAACGGTTCCTAAATAAATCTTGTTGAAAATCGTTTTTAAACTAGGCGATCAAACCGCAAAAGCTGAATGTTTTTTTGTCTGAATCGATGGACTCTTTACATAACCCAAAATCTGTAACTTTGACATGTCCATCAGCGTCCAAGAGAACACTAGAAGCAATAAGTTTAAAAGGAGGAAGTGAAAAAGGAATTACTTCTCAGGCTTAAGATCTCTATACACAATTCCTAGTGAATGCAGATGTTCTAAAGCCAACGTCAGTTCTGCCAAGTAAAATTTGACATCATCTTCTGTGAACATGACCTGGAATGATAAAAAAGAGTTAGGAAACATGAGAATTTTCAAGGAATCTCAAATTTCTTCAGCTAAACGTTAGAAATGTTGAGAGAAAGATTTACCTCCTTGGATAAGCGAGTGAACAAATCTCCTCCACGTAGAAAGTCAAGAATGAGATAAAGTTTTCCCTCCGTTTGGAAAGCTGAAAAGGGATCTCCTCATAACATGACCTTTCCAAAACATTTATGCTTTTTGGTATGGAAATGAACAAAAACGGAAATAAAAGGTAATGACAAATAGCTTTTCCACTTTATTATACTTACTAATGTGTCCAATAAAATGACGTCATGCCTTCTTTTTTTTGGACAATGATGTCATAACTTCAAAATTGAACCTATATTTTTCTTGAAATCTCAAGAATAAAACAATTGCTGAATATTTTTGGCTGAAAGCAGCTATCTAATGAAAAAAAAAGAAAGGATGACGTAGGAGAGAACAAACAAAATGAGCGGCAGCTGCATGACATCACCAAAAATGGCAATGATTCTGAGGAATAACACCAACTTTCTTTAAACAAAACTCACCATAATGTAGTTTTACTATAAATGGATGAGAGATCTGTGCCAGGATGTTCCTTTCCATTTTCGTCCTTGCCCTATCGCGAACTTTCAGTGTTGCTTTTTTCAGAACCTATCCAGGTGAGAACATTAGAGACTTCTTGTCGCTTTCCACTTACTTTCATAGCATATACTTGGCCAGTATCTTTGCCTCTTACTTTACGAACCAGGAATACTTTTCCAAACGATCCCTGACCCAGGACCTGAAAAATCAGTGTTCCACTTCTAATGAATCATAACACTAGTAGCTCATTAATTAATTAAACAACTTTTTATAAGAAAACACCGACTGTTTCCATAAATAGAACCGGTTATCAAACAAATAGAGGTCAATTTCCTTTTCTCTCCATGGAAATGCCAAAGATATCAATGCAAACAAAAATTGTTTTGAAAACGCTCCGAACATGGCTGTTTTACATAAAATACATCCCCCTATCTTCCTTTCTCTCTTGATAAACACCCAAACAGGGTGAACTCGACAAAAGCCAAAAATACTTACCTTAAGTAGTTCGAAATGTCGAGCATCTGCTTTTTCTCCTCCTTTTCGTACTTCACTGATGTCAATTTCAGCAAGAGCTTCCTGAAATTTAGTAGTTAGATAGGCGTAAACTCCCGAAATTTGTGAAACAAGGCTTTCCAGACTTAACAACTACCCGGAGGGATCATTTTTTTGCTTCAAAAGACTACTAATCTTCGATCTATTTGTATTAAAAATGAGTAATCAACCAGTTTACATATAATAACACGAAAAAGGAAATTAAGCCTACTTTCCAAAAAACAACAATGATATATATGCGGATGTAAACTTACAGATATATTTTGAGGATCGTCTACTGCGACTCCCATAGTCATATTAACTATGAGGTAGAAGTAATTAGGGAACAAATTTCAAATAATCAGTTGAATGGCAAGCCAACTCAACAAAGTATACAAACGGATGATAGCGACATATACCGACTGGGGGATAAATGTTGGGAGAGAGAAAGAGAGAAAGATCGTTGATCGAGAGAGAACCCAGCTGCAAAGGAGTCAGTGGAGGCATGTCATCAGTAGCCTAAGCTCCGCCTATCAAAGCAAGTAGGCGGAACTTTATCAGAGAAAGGCGGGCAGGCAATCAGAAAAGATAAAGAGATAAATCCTCGAGATGTACTACACTTGAGCTTTTATTAAAAGAAATAGAGGTTACATGAAAGTAATCCAACAGATAAACACGAAAAAAAAAACTTCAAAATATAAACTGTTTTGTAGTGAAGTTGCGTTGCGAAAAACACATGTTTTCGCTAAAAAAAATCTCAAATTACATCTCTTGAATCGCAATTATCATTTATTTTGATTTGGAGAGAAACTGTTTTCGTTGAAAAATTAAAAGAATTATGGGAACAAAAGATCGAAAATTAGATAGACAAGACTCATCATATCAATAAATTACCTTCATTTATAAAAAAAGAAAAAAGAAAATCGATCTTTCAAGAACTTGTTTCAGGGAAAAAAAGAAAAAAAAAGGAAAAAAGAAAAAAATACTCACCTCCGTATCATCACAAGAATCCTTGGCTGCCATCTGGAAAACGGAAAATGAGGAAATTCAACTTCTCATTAAGACACTTTCTCTCAAGATCTCATGCAAAATATACCGAATACGGGTTTAATAAAGGCGACGGCTAGTGAATTTATCTGGTTTGCTAATGAAAGAAAGAGTTCTAACCACATACCGTACGACATAGTGTCTTTAATGCGTTCGTAAGTAAGTTAAGACATCCGTAGCTGTCAAAAGACATTGGTTGGAAGAGAGACGGTTTTAAAACGTTAAATCAAAATATTATTATTGTAGCTTTTGCGATTCGTCAAGTGACCAATCGAATGTGTGTTCAGAAGGCTCAATATAATATAGAATATATCATCATCATCATTAATTAGAGAAATACAAAATAAATGATGATAATAACCCGAGAGCAGGGAAATAGCTAACTAGAATATCCCTCCATTACTTCATTCCAATTGGTATGGTCACGAATTAGGACAGTCCGGAACAAAAACCAGATTACCAATCTATTTTTGTATCAAATAATACTCAAAAACGCTCGATTTCAATCATTCTAAGCACTCCTAAATTCGAAAGAACAAAGCTGCCAAAAACTTGCTTCACTCTCAACTTTTCTTCCATCAAACAACGACGATTATGTAAAAGGATATTCCATGAACTATAAGCGCTTGGGGGCAATCAACAGCGAAAACCTTCAGAGAACGTCTCATTAACTATTTTACGGACTAACAGAGAGAAGAGAGTAAACTGAACTTCTCGAACTATAAAATTTAGGAGAAAATGGCTTAATACTATGGGAACAAAACACTAATTTATGAATTGAAGAGCTGTAGACGCAACTGAACAAATTGAAATCAGGCAGGCGGCTTGGTTCAAAAAAATACCAAAAAGCGGATAAGCCTGATGAAAAGACAAATAGAGTCAGGTCTCTATGAAAGCAGAAGAACTAAAAAATGCTCAAAAATCATTAAAGAACAACAAATTATAACATGTTCAATGACCTTTTGAGGAGAAAATCTCAATGTGGAATCTTACATATACACTTTACCTATGCGTGTCACATATTATTTTCATTTTTAAATGTGCAAATGCTGAATGCGGTTGGTTTTTTTTTTCTGTCTAGAGTTAGTCGAATACACATGTATACACACATATACACACATACATGTACATAAAAATTACAAAGAAAAAAAGAAATATTTAGTTTTGAAAGAGAGAGAATGGCTACGGGTCTATAATAAGTGTTCCAAAAAACATATTAATTATGTTTCAATAATTTACAAAACAAAACTACTCTCAGTAAAGAGAAGCTACACACGTGAAAAAAAACAATTAACTCTCACGCTCAATGTAAATTCAAAGTTAAAAATACCTCTTTTGGAATTTGCTCTGGAGATGGAGTGATATCAGCACGTGAAGGTTCAAGACCGAACGGATCTCCTAGTGGAGCCAACGGCATCTTCTGAAGTACAGATAACTATTAAAGTTCAATAAAAAGGAAGACAATTGATATAAGAAGTAGAGTGATTATAAGCGTAACGGAGACACATACGTAAGTCAATCAAATGAGATAAAAGAACATTTCATAATCCAAGACGAAGTAACAGACAGAAAAAGATATATATTTGATTGGAAATAGAATGAAGAGGAGAACAGCTCTCAAAGGAAATTATTTTATAATGAAAAGAAGATACAACAACAATTGTCAATATCCAAAAATAAAAAAAACAGAATCTTTTAAAACTTTTGCCCAATTCAACATATGAAATTGTGGTCTTTGAGTGAATTATATAATATATTTTGAACCGTAATCTTCATTTATGATGGTTATTGATTTATTTTTAGATCAAATAAAAGAGGATTAGGGCCTTGGATATTTCAACAGACTTCAAACTACTGCTAGTAATCTTTATAACAAAAAAAAAGAATAATGAGTACACTTTTGTATTCGGAGTTAGTGATCGTTGAATTAATATTACATTGTCATTAATTCGTGTTGAACATAGGTTTTTTTTCAAAAAAGACAGAGTTTCTGTAATTATATTCTAGCTAGGCGCGAAGTAAAGACATTGCGGTTTGTACTGGTCTTTAAAGACTACTAAAGTAGAAGAGCAAACGGTTTTAAATAACGACGGATAATCAAATTACCCTTTTAAAAAAACTAATAAACGTTTCGAATTGTGAAGTTAATAACTAAGCGTGTTATATTGGAATTGATGAAAGAGCAATAGAATTACAACCGGTCTGTGTGAAATGAAAATAAAAAAATGACTGTGAGAGATTGAATTATTTCACGTGAGCTTCCACGTATGCAAAAATTAATATCATGCGGAATATAATTTTGTAATATAGCCGAGAGCATGAAATGAAAAAAAAAGAGAGAATGATATATATGACGAAAATCATGCCATGGAAGGCTCTTTGGATAAATAGAATAAGAAAACAAAACACGTTGAAGATAAGTAAATTAGTCGAGAGAGAGGTAGTCTGAAAATAAGCTACATGATATACAATAATATTTTTGAATCGCAAAGGATCTTAAGTGATGAAAAAAGAGAAATTCAATATCGTTTTAGGTAATTCGAAGGATTGCCTTTTCATCGTATTAAGTAGTTCGGGGAATACTCCAAATATGACAAAATAACACCCACAAGTGAGTGCGGAAAAGAGAAAAGTGAAAAATAAGATAAAATAAAGGTTTTTTTTCTAATAATCAAAAAAAAATATAATTTTCGATGACAAGAGAAGAATGATTGAGGAATACAGAATGAGAATAGGGGATAAGAGATATGAGCAAAAACAAAAAAAAATCGGCGCTCAAATTGAAGCTCAAAAACCGCAAAATCCAAATAAAGTTCAAGCGAGTAGCTTATGCGATATGAAAAAAATTCAGCCGTTTCAGCTAGTTGTCACCCAAAGGAATTTGTATTCTCTTGCAAATGATGGAAGCATGCTTATCTCATTATTCAAAAAGCAATATTCGACTCATTCAACGGAATAATTTGAGGTTCGATTGTATGCTCAAAAGGCAATACTTTTAGAAAAAAGCCATAAAGAGATATAAGGAAAAAAGGATGAAACGGTAATGACTGGTTTAAGCTGCAAAAGTTCAAGCATTCGTAGCAACGAACAAAGAGCAGAATTATTGACAAACGAAAAGGCAGACATCCGTTAATGGAAGGAGCAAGTGAGTGAAAGAAAAAGAATGCGAGAGAGAAAAGCGGATAGAGAGAGAGAAAGAGAAAAAGAGAAGACGTAGAGCGAGTAATAGAAAGAAATGTGAAAGCAGAGGAGATATGGGAGCAGAAGAATTAAAAAGAAAAGATTCAGCCTAATGGATGCCATTAACGCCATATTTCTACATATCAGAAAAAAAAGCAGAAAGATTCTGTGAAAAACAAAAGTTATGTAAAGCCGTGTCATTTCTCGCAAATTTATCGATTAATTTGATAAAGGAAAGGAGAGCCGGGTTTTATCAGAATAGATCCCCATTCGCTCATTCAGTTCATGAATGTTTTATGCAAATTTATAAAATTCAAATGGATGATATTATGTATGAAAACCGCTGAAGGCTGGAAATATCAGAGAAGAATGAATCATAAGAAGAACTATAAAAAGCTTGAAATCGGATATTTATGTATAACCATACTTGGAGCTGTTGCCGATGTTTTGAAGAGAGTTGAATAAACAACATCTTCAACATTATCCATGCAAAATTCAATCAAAGAACAAACTGAACTAACAGAAAGGGGAAATTACTTTAATATGAGACCATTATCTGATAAATTCAATTGATTTCAACAAAATGAAAAGAGAAGAAGATGGGCAGAAGAAAAAAAGAAACAAGGACATCTTGAAGGTACCAGTTGTCTGATAATGGCCATGTGAGTGTAGGAGGATGAAGGAAGACTATGAGCTATAAAGAGAAAGAGAGTCAGAGAGAGGGAGAATAAGCCAGTGTCGCATCGATTTCTAAGAAATTCGCATACGTAACAGAGCTCGGGACAAAAAAAAGAAAGAAGAAAGAGAAAGTGAAAGTGAAAAAAACGCTAAACTCTAATATGGAAATTGGGAAAGGCAAGCGGATATTATATACATTACAAGAGGAAAAAGAAAACTGGGAGTGAAAACAATATGAGTGAAAGAGGGAGGGAGAGAGGGAGAAAGAGAGAATAACACAAAAGATGTTGAGACAACTGAGAGAATTTTCGAAAAATAGAGTCAAAAACAAAAAAACCTGAACTCCCACCTGAATCGTGCGAGTAATGGGCTTCTCGTGGATAACCACGATCTGGGCAACAATAGTCCGAAACGTCTTCTGAAGAAAAACTGATTAAGCGAGAGAGAATGAATAGAAACACTTATAAGAACATCATTTCCGAATGTTTCAACTACAAATCAAAGAACTTTGAACTAAGTTTGTTCTTTCTTTCAACATACGTTAATTATTAAATAAACAAATTAAAATTTCAGCGTCGTGAGACTAAAAATATGAAAAACCTTTAATACTGTTAGCCATTTACGTAAAGTTGCCTGAAGAGATAGATCAAGAATTTAATTAATAATTCAATACAAAATATGGAAATTTCTTTCATTTTCATAGAAAAACATTTGAATTATTGAGTTTTTGGGATAATTCAATGAATTTCAAGAAGTAAAGTGTTGATAAATGGCTCTTCGGCGGCAAGCAAGCCATTCAGTAAAGATGAAGTTAAAGAAAGATTCCGGAAAAAGAAAAAAGTTCTTTGTTTTTGCCTTTTTCTCGCATACGAATCTCATCAGATGTGTGTTGTAGTTTAAACCGTGTTATTGTTAATTCGTTTTTACAAATAGTTGAAAATAAGTAAAACTTGGGATCTATCAGTTTCCGTCTTTTTATGGAATTCTTGTCGCATCATCGAAAGGGAGAAAACCTGAACGCTTTAAAAGGAAAAAGCGTAATGTATATCTATATAAAGACAACTTTATGATGGCAATCACATAAACATAATGTATAGAACCTTAGTGATCATCCTTGTTATTTCCATCAGTTGCATATCATGTCAGGTAGTCTGACTTTTGTCCTTTTTCGCACCAACTTCTTTAATATTCAGATGGATGTGATGCAAGCATTAGCTATTAAACAGCGTGCACAATCATGTATGGCTTCATATCTGCCAGCACAATCCTATGGAGTCCAACAGCAATTAGCTGTGCGTCTTTCTTGAATTTTCTTCGTTTTTTTTTTCATTTCAGCAGCTTTTTTATTCATTTTCTCTTACTTCTAATTTATTTCAGATGTGTTTTGATGTAAACTGTGGGAGAAGTATTATAAGCCAAGTAATGACTATGTACCCTAACCATGTGCCTGTGCTTCGTCAGTGTCTAGGATACTGAAATTAATTCTCAACATTCTCTTGAAATATTCAAAATTGTACTAGTTATAATCAATATAGAAAACTTTATAATTTGCTCAAAAATTGAAGTTTAAACAAATATTTTTGAGCGAAACAAAGACACAAAAAAGAAAAAGAGAAGAAGGGTAAGAATGAAGTAAAAGCAGTTGAAGTTCTGCTTTGAAACAGGAAGTAACTTGTCCTTCGTTTTTTGTTTAAAGATGCATGAATGAATGAATGAATGACTAAAATGTCAAATAAATATTTGCTTTTTGTGATAAATCTTTATATGCATGATGATATCATCGATATTTTAACAAATTGTTAAGAAAGCTTCATTGTATGAAATAATATGAACCCGTAAGTAAAGATATTTGACCAGCCGACAAGAGCCTTTAACACAATGACGTCATAGTAAAGAATATGTAAATTTACATTCGAATAATGTGTGGAAGGAAAAAAAATCTTATAAAGATTAAAAATATTATAATTATTATAATATAAGAGAGAGGGGGAGAGAGATTGTAAGAGAGAGATGTACGAAGCGATATTGTTATTATCGGAGACGATGATGAAGATGATGAAAATCAGTTTATGTTATTCATTTTTTTGAGCATGAATGTCTCGTATATACAAATAATTAATCATCCGTTATTGTTCTTAATCTCATTCGGTGTTGTGGACTAGCTTCTTCACTCGTCATACTGCTTTTACGACCTCTGAAATGATGCAATTTTGTTTTTTTTCTTTGTACGAAAAATTCGTCTCATCATCCATCCCATTTCATTCTCATTCACATTCTGTTTTTATTTCTGCAAAAGTTGAAGACGATGACAAAAAAAGTATTCTGACCGTAAAAGTTCAGCCAAACTTCCAATTTCTCTTGAAATGTCTGACAGTTGATGTTCTATGGCTGTTATGCGGAGTGATAACCCTTCCTGAGTTGAGTGAACGTCATGCATCAGCTCGTAAGCACTTGAGGATGTCTTCAAAATACAATTTTTATTTTTAATTAAAAATTTTTAATTTGCATACTTTAGCAACATCTCCTAATGAAACCAAATTTTCTGTCAATTTTCGTTGATCTCTCTTAACTTTTCTAAGTCTGTAAAGAAAATTATTATTCTATTCATCAAACGTCTGTATTGAAAGGGAAAGTTGGAAATGAAGCATAAAAAAACTGACTCATATATGGCGACTAAGAACTTTCGTTGATGTTGTCGAATTTTCGATAGATCAGCTTTATCAACAAGTTTTCGATATTTATAGATAAGCCATGTTTCACGTAACACATTAGCTGCTGAATGTTTAAGCTGTAATTATATAAATATAATTGTTATTGATGATTTCATAAATACTTGTTTAGTTAGTTGCGTATCCATCATGAAGCTGTGAACATGTTTTTCAGCTCTCGTAAGTTCTAACTTCCTTGTGATAACGGCAACAACCATAGAAGATGTGCAAGTACCCTGAATATTCAAAAGTTGAAAAACATTAATTCTTTTTTATATATATGTTTAAATGCAACCGCAGAAGACAATTAAATTCAGAAAAACATGAAACATTTGATTCACGTGGCGTTTGACGTTTAAACGTTCACCGTATGCAAATTAGATCACTTACCAGAATACCAGTAATGACGGCCATTACACGTCCACATTGAGTATGAGGAACAATGTCACCTTAATTTATATGTATAATAGCATTGATGTTGTTATTATTACCGTATCCAACAGATAAGAATGTGATGGCAACAAGCCAGATTGAGCTTCCATAATCTAATTCACGTGTACGTGGAATGGACATTTCTCTTAAAAGAGATAAGATTGCAAGAGTGAGGGAATAATGAGCAAAGAACCTTTCACACAATCTCAAAATCCATCCAGCAATAATCCATAATGAAGCTGTGAATATAATAAGCATTTTTCCTTAAGGGTTCAAGGATGAGAAAGCTTAGAAGAGGGTGAGAGATACCTGGACATAATGTCATAAGCGTTTTAAGAATGAAACGAGCATTGAAGTTAACTCGATTTAAGCCAGCTATACTTCGGCTACTAGCATCAGTGAATAATCTGTTTAATGATAACATATAGTTAGTTTGACGTGATGTCTGAGATAAGAGATAGATGAATCAAGAGAGACCAACCTTGAATGTAAAAGCATCACACGACATAACCAATATAATCGAAAGAACATTGAAATAGAAAAGAGTACATTCAGAGAATGTAATGTCTGTAATGGATATTGATATGAATCAATAATCAATCAATAACTCTATACATTATGTGTATCTATACTACTGTACGTTCCAAGTTCTAATGGCAGTGGACACACTGCGCAGATCATCAGTTCTATGAGAATTTGAGTAACTCGATGAGTTGTTAGTGATACTCTCCAATCATCTGCTGCATTTGCATTCATAAATAACTTAAATCAGAATTAAATATGAAATCTTGTTGTTTACTGTAATAAGTATTACCTGAACATCAATCACGTGAAAATATCCAACATAAACAATAAGTACAAGAGTTGAGCCAAGTATACAAGCTTTTAAAGCTAAGCTTTCAAGCGAACCCTTAAATATGTTTGCTTGGTTAATTGAAACGTTCTCCTTATATAGTCCTTTACCGCATCAATAAAGTTATTTGAACGTAATTCACTTTCAATCATCATTAAAACTGAAAATAAGGAAAAATAAAATGAATGATAATGGTATGCATGATGTCCATACCTATTCCCAGTACAGCAAATGTCAAAGCTCGATCACATGTAATACGTCGTTTCTCATGTAACTGTTCCCGTTTGATCAACCGTCCACCACTAAATGAATTCAAATCATAATCAGTTGATCTCTAACTAATGAAGCATTTTGATTTGTATCAACATGTATGCTTATGAGAATCCAGATGGAAACGCATTTGTTCCATTTGCCTCCTAACACAGCAAATACTAATGTTTATGGTTAAAATACAAAAAGCTGTATTGTCAAATTCAAAGATCTCATCTATTCTAAGCTTCATCTTCTTCAATATAATCATTCTGAATCTATGCAAAAATGTAAAGCCATGACAACTACTCAATTCTTTGTACTACATATCATTCATCAAATAAAGAACTCAACTCTGTCTTTTCTAATAATAAAAAGAAAACAAATATATAAATAATAATAAATATTAGTCGAGCAGTATATCTTACCTTTCCATCAAGTGTATATATCTAAAAGATGTTCAAGAAAAATAAAAATATCTTTCAAATCATAGTTTATGAGAGAGCCTTATGACATCATCATCTATCGACTTGTGCATTTCAGATGCGAACGTTTAAAAATATTTTTTTTTCTTTGCAATTCTTCTTCGATAGATCAAAAAAGCTTTTTAATTTCTTTTTTTTCACTCAAATAGGAAGAAGAAGGAGGAAAAGCAGAGGAAGAATATGGTTTGTGCTTTAATTATAATGGATGAATATGAGTCATACCTGTTATCTTCTTTCTCTTCCATAAGAGGAGTTTCAGAATCATCAGCATTCTTCTGTCCTTCAATATCATTTGAATAAGCAATTGATACTGATTTTCTTGATGCAATTTCACCTGAAAGTATGAAAGGAAAATAAAAAAAATATTTTTTTATACTTTAAATTGTAAATTTGTTTTTAATAAAGGAAATACATCAGGTCGTCAGACTTTTTGGATTGAAATGAAAATATGTAAGTATATATCAATGGATATATATGTAAATCGACAATGTTTCCATGTTCTACCTTGTGGAACACTTCGTTTCCGATCGCTGTTTATCCAGCTTAGACCTTGAGGGCCTAAAATTCTTCGTAACAGAGCTTGCTCTTTTGATGGAAGATAAGCCATGCTCATACGACGTGTACGACAGCTAGGATCATGATTTCCACAACATCGTGAAGTACAGACTCCTCCTTGACAATACTCGGTGCTTGTTGATCCATAAGGCATGCGAAAGGTACTTTCGCTGTTACTTCGTTGTTGAAGGTTCTGAAGACGGAAGCGTCCAGGATCCTTGCGACGTGAACTTCCACGACGGCCTACGCCTAATGTTTGAAGGGATGGTGTCATAGATGGCGAAGTGGATGATGGGTAACAACGGGGTGGCTTCTCGAACATATGATATGATCCTGATTGTGAGACACAGCTACTCTTTGCGGAAGGAACGGGCGATGACGTCGTGCACATAAAATCGAATGATAGCTGTTTCGGAGCAGTTTGAAGACGTGGTGCTCGTAAAATCCCTCTTGGAGTAGCATCTGAGGGAACTGACGTTGTCATCAAGCACGTATCAGCTAATGGCAATTCCGGAGTAGTGACAGTACTATGTGTTAAGCCAGCATTGGATGGTATTTCATGACCAGTGGCTGTCATATTCTTATTTGAAAGACGATTATATTATATGAAGATGAAGCAGATGATAATAGGAAAAGCTTAAAATATAAAATATGAATTAAATAGAAAAAGAGAGAAAAAAAGAGAAGAAGAAGGAGTTTGCTTCCTAGGCAGACAACATGAGAATAGAATTTAGCGAAGAAAAATATTTGTGAGAGAGGTTTTTGCATATAAATCTCTGTAAAGAAGGAGAGAAAAGATGTAGTTTAATATTCAGTATATGTATATTCACAAAAATCTTTCGGCAGTTTTTGACTTGAAACTTGTCAAAAAAAGAACTGCCGAATAGAGAGAGAGAGAGAGAGAGAGATATATGAAAATCTCCACCTCTTTGACTTCCACCAGGAGTGCGGAGACAGATTAACAGAGAATAGCTAGAGAGTGAAGGAGAAGAAAGGGAAAATGAAAAAGAGAATGAAGGACTTGACTATAAAGTAAATAAAATAAATAACATTCGCAGTATGATTCGTTTAATATTAATTTTTTCTCTCTCTCTCGTCATTTTCATTTTCTTCTGTCAGATGAACATGTGGATCTCAGAAAAGAAACAGAAAATTTTCTTCCAATTATTTGTTGAAGGCTTTCCACGTAGGAACACTATCTTTCAGATTTCATTTCTTCCTTGTCGGATGCAAAGATCGGTTGCTTTTCCTCTTTTCTCTCTCTATCTCAGTTCTCTCACTTACATATATTTGAAGCTTTTTATCCACTCTTTTTCTCTTTATATCTATCCTCTTTCTCTCTCTCTCTTGATGTTACTCTCCCTTCATCTCTCTCTCTCTCTCTTCAATCACTTTGGGCGACTTCCTCTTTTTTTACAAATTTCCTTAAGAAAAGTCAAAAAAAATCAATATGATTTGCATATCAATATGGCTTTGCTCATGCAGGAGACTAGTGTGTTCCTTGACAATTCGATCACAAAGTTTCTTTTTTGGTTTGGTTCTGATCATCTATGGCAAGAAATAGTTCAAGATAGATTATCTTTCTTATCTTTTAAATCGAAGCCCATACGGACAATAGGCTTCAGAATGCTTCAAGAAGCTTTACACGCAGTTTAAGCACCAAATCAAGTTTGGCTGTGAAGTTCCAAAAAAAATAAATAAAGAGAGATCTATGAAGAGAAAGAGAGATACAGAGAGAGCGGAGAAAGTTAGAGAGAGAGTGAGAGGTGTTGAAAAGAAAGAAAATATAATAATAATATATGAATTTATATAGTTTAAATGGAAGAAAAAAAAAGTTATTTGGAGGCTTTTCCATTCATTCGAATTCTTATTCGATATAAAACTTCTTGAAGCTTTTACCGACTGCAGACTCGACGTCATCGAGGAATAGAATGACAAAATATATTCCAAAAATCTCGAAATACGGCATTATTCAGAGTTTTTTGTTTATTTCTTATAAGGAAGAAAACAATAGAAGCTTGAATATCCGGTTATGAAGCTTATTCACTTTGAAACATAAGCTGAAAGCCACAATTTTTTGAACGAAAAAATACTTGAGCAATTTCGAAGAAAAAAAAGAATTTTTTCTCGTCTTTTCTAAGCTTCGAAATAGCAAATTCAACCGTTCAACAACGTATTGCTCGACTTTGGAATAACACGTAGCTTTCACGTGAATTCACAAAAACTGAGAATAAAAAAAATTTTTTTTTTATTCTCTTTCTGTGTGAGCAGCGAAATGTAATTCAAATTGGAGTAATTAGTTTTTGACTAAAAAAGACTTTTTTGTTTCAATCTACTACAGATATTGATTAGTTTGAATTAGATTGAATGGATGGATAAATGGTGCTGCTGAATAAGCTGCATAGGTAACAAGAGCTTAAATGAACTTAAAGTTCCAATATGTGAAGATAATGATTAAAATAGAAATATGGGGTGTAGTTGACGTGAAAGAGCAACAAAGAGAGAGTGAAAGAGATAGAGAGGTAAACTAAGAGAGATGTATGAGAGGGAAAAGGAAGGCAGATTCAATAAGTAACAACCAAAGAGTAAAGAAGCTTAAAGTTTAGGTGAAAAGAGCAACTTAGGAATTCAAGCATCAAATTGATTTCGGTTTTCATATCGAAACTATAGAAATCGAAAGATGAACTTGAAACAAAATGATTGAAAGGTAAGGTAAAAGGAAATAAAAAAGTAGAAGAAGAGAGGGGGGGGGGGAGATGAGAGGAAGGGAAAGAGGAAGTGTAGGAAGGAAAGGGAGGGAAAAGCTGAATATCATTTAAAAGGATTTACTTTCATCAAATTATAAACAAACATATCTATTTGTTCAAGATAAAAGTGAACAAAAGACATTTTGTCGTCAGATAGCGATGAATATTTTAATATGAAAATAAGAAAAAGAATGTTGTAATTCAATGAATGCTTCTTCTGCTGATAGACGATATGTCAAGTAGCAAGTAAAAGCTGGACGTCTCTCAGCCTCATATATGGTCTGATGACATCAAATTAATGGATCTAAACATTCTCTTCCACTTTCTATTTCATTCTAACTCTTTTCCTCTCTCACTATTTCTGATATTCTTTCTCTTTCTCTTTCTCTCTTACACATCCTCACATACTCTCTCTATCTCTCTCCCTCCCTCTCTAGACTCATCTCCCTCCTTCTTATTTTAAGACTGTTTAATGATCAATAGCTTTTTTTTACTTCAAAAAGCTTATTTCGAGAGAGACAGAGAGAGAAAAAGAAAAAAAGAAAAGTGACAGCTTAAAGAGCACAGATGGAAAGCTTTACCTTTGGAAGGTGAGTGCTTCCGCATATCCTTCCGGTTTCCATGACATTACTTTTCTTTAACAAATTTGAAGCTTATATCCTCTCTGTCTGTGTCTCTCTATCTTTCTTCCCTTTTCCCACTCTCTCTCACTTTCTCTCTCTGTCTTTCAATCAGCCACTCTACTTCATACTCTCTATATTCTCTCGAATTCTAAGAGATCTATCTTTAATAATCCTGACAAGACTCCATACAAACGTACATTCCCACATCAGGTCAGTCCGGATCTCTCAGAATAAAAGTCATTTCATTAACTTTTTGATTAATTGTTAGTCTTAAAATGCAATAAAATATATACATATCTTTTCGTTTAATCTAATCGTCGGTTTACTAATTATATTTGAATATTTGAAAGTCATAGAAGCAAAAGCTTTGGGACAGGATGATGAAGAAGATGCGGATGAAGGCGAAGAAGCAATTTTCGTTCTCTTCTTCTTTCTCATGTTTTTATTTATTTCAAACCAATTGACGTTTCAAAATTCTTTGTCATCTGAATCTACTAAAAGGGTGTCAGATAACGTATGAGGACGATAACGACGATGCATTGATGAGAAGCTCAACCAAAGTCGTCTCTTGTTACTTTTATAAAATCCTCCCCCCCCCCCTCACCATCTCCTTCCTTATCCTCTTTTCCATTTTTCTCTCTTACAATCGTTTTCCATCATTGATTTGAATACTATTTCACTGTTTGAAGCATTTCAAATCATTTGTCTTTCAATTCGTTCTCGGAACTTTCATGGAAAATGCTGAAGAAGAATAAAAAACATAAAAAATTATGAATATTCGATGATCATAAAATAATAAACTTTGAACGCCAAAGAAGTTTCTTCGATGAGAATCGTTCCCTTTCTATGGCAGACTACCTCTCCTCCTCTTCTCTCTCTCTCTTTGTATTTCCCTCTCTTTCGTACTCTCTCTCTTTTTATATATTTCTCTGGATATATACATATATACGAATGATCAAATGAAGATGAAGAAGTAAAGGATGAAGACGACGACTACTACCATCATGACGACGACTAGCAGACAGGCAGATAGGAAGATAGAGGGGGGAAAGAGAGAGAGAAAGATGGAGCAAGAGAGAGAGTGACTGAGCGATGAATCCATTAAAACATTTGTTTTCCCTCTCAATTTGTCTATTTTTGAATGAAAAATTTTGTTTAATTTTTCAATTAAAATAAGTTCAAAATTTTTTTTTCTCTCTCGCTCCTCATCCTCCTCGTCCTCCTCCTCATTCTCCTTCATCTCCTCCAAAAATGGATAGAAAACATGCCATGGAAAAGCAGAAACAAATTCATGAAAATTGCAAAAAAAAAGAAGAAAAAGTCAGAAAGTAATGATTTCGAAGAAGTTAGAAGATGAAGCTGACTAATGAATGACGTCACTTCAAATGATTTTGAGGACAAAAAGCTAATTAGTTCTTTGCATTTTAAGGAATCAAATAGCAACTAATCTACCATTAATTTATAAACGATGGAAATAAAATATGCAAAAATGAAATAAAAAATTTTTAAAAAAAAATTGAAAAACGAACAACCGTCCTGTACGTCTGTCACGAGATGATTATGAATGAAAAGAAATAAGAAGCTACCACGTAAAAGCTACGTGAGAGATATGCTAATTGAGAAAGTTCAGTTAATTAACTTTCGACTGCAATAACAGTCAAATCATACGAGAGTCTAGATGTCAGCTTCATATTCCATATGAAAATATTTCATATTTTTCAAATAATTTACGTTTTCCTTTTTCTTCTTCTCCGCTCAAGCTTAATCTGTTAGCCATGACGGCTCAACAATCATATTATGGGTTTTTTTGTTATTTTTTTAATTTTAATTTTCTTTCATTTCTGTAAATAAGAGAGAAAAATATATAAAAGATAATACCATTTTCGGCGTTCAGAACATCACACTGTGTTCCACTACGGGGTAATTGCCCTTCTAAGCTTGTGACACAATGCATCTTTCTGAGTGATCCAACTCTTGATAGATGTGTTGATGAGTGTGATGACTAAAAATGGTTTTGTTGTCTTTTTCGTAAACAAAATCAAATATATAATACTTTTGGATGAACCGGTGGATTTCCGGTAAGAAAGGGCCTGATTGATCCGGCACCTAATCCATTCATCCGCATCCAATTCATTGAAATCTATAAAGGAACTCATAAGTTAGCTTATGCTGCATCTCTTATCAACCTGCGCAACATCTTGATTTGAATTGGAATCAAATGATGATTGAGGCGAACGGCCACCTAACGGAGGTTGACTTCTACCAGTTGAGTATCCTTAATTAATATATTCGTTTGTTTGCTCATTATTATGATAATCACCAGCTGAATTACATCCTGAACCTCCGGCTGAAGCAAAAGCTCCCCCACGAGTGATTGCAGCCGATCCACTACTGATACCGGCTCTTCGCTTACGTTGTTGTCGAAACTGTAAGAGGATAATGAAAAATGGATGAGTTTACGATTGTTTTTGTGATCTTTATATTTGTCTGTTTCTCAGATAAAGCTTACGGAAGTTCCTTCATCAAGACTATACATATGCTGGAGCATTGGTGAAGCTGTCATTTTGCATAGAGCATCAGTAATTCATGTATGAATCGACTGTAGAATGAAAAAAAAGATATCTTTTCAAGCGTAGACAACAAAAACAAAAAGAAGACGAAGAAGCAAAAGATGAAACAGCTTGTTTGAAAATGAGACGAATAATCGAATTGTCGTCAAACGATTTGTCAAAAAACAAAAAAACTCGAAGATTTGAGGTAAAAGTTCGCGTAGGTTTTTCTCTTTTTTTTCTCTTCTTTCTTGTTGTGAGTCTTCCGCAAACTTTTTTTTTCACCTATCTCTCACTCTCTCTTGCTCTCCAGATCTCATTATCTTACTTTCTCTCTCTATCTATCTCTCTCTCTGAATCTTCTTCTCTCTTAACCTTTTTTCTTGTTTCTCTCTTTTTTTTGCAATATTTGAGCTTTCATTGTTCGAATGAAAGTATGATGAGCATGTTTTCAATGGTCGACCTTTATAAAAGAAGCCAAAGATAGAGAAACATGGAGAGAGGGTGCACAACCGAATGATGTCATTGGACTGACTTAATTTAAGTTTTTGGTCACAAATTGTTGATAATAGAGAAAGAGTAAGAATGTATTGGAGAGTGAGAAGAAAGTGAAAATATTTTAAAAAAGAGAAAAGAGAAAGCTCTTTGTAAAGGAGAGAGTAAGTTCATAAATAAAGAAAGTCTTGCTCATAAAACCACTGAAAGAGCTCTAGCTCATAAAAAAATAGTTTCCTAATAGATAGAGTTGGAGGGGACTAGTTGCATTAGACGGAGTGCCAGGTTGATAGACTGAAAAGGGGAAAAAGGGACTGAAAGATAGAAAGACACACAGAGAAAGAGATCATTAACAGCTTTGCTCTCGAATCAAATGTTTTTTTTTATTCAAAAAGACAGAGAACCTTCTATTTAACACAAAAGATCCAGCAACAGAGACTCTCTCTCTTCCTCCAACCCCCCCCCCCCCCCCCCCTTCTCTACACCACCAAAAAAAGACAAAAAGTCTGCAGAAATGTTGATTATCTCCTTTTCCTTCTATGGATATCAACTATTGTTGTGTCAGGCTCGAACTAAAAGTAATTTTCTAAGCTCAAAAAAGGCTTATTTACTTGTGACTTTTTTCATTTCTAACTATTTACTCTCAGGTTTCATAGGCCGTTTAGTCTTCCATATTAGGCTGTATCATACGTATGTAAGAATTGTTTATCAAATAAGAATAATGAGAAGAGATAGAGCAATTAGAGCAACGTAACAAGATGGTTGGTGATGGTAGAGCCGACTGAATGTCGAAAGCAAATGAAACGAAATATTTCATTTCTCCATTTTCAATGCTTAAAAAGTATCATTCATAAATTGAAAATTGGATGAAGAAAATGTTTTTCATCGATATCACTGAATGAATGAAGCAATGATTGACTATATCGTTCAGAAATGAGGATGTTCACTATTTAAGCGTACAAAGTATAATCGAATGACTGCTGTTCTCTTCTTACAAGTTTTTTTTTTTGGAGCTCAAACAAAGAGTAAATCAGAATGTTCATGTTCCATAGACCCATATGTGGCTTATATGGCCATATTTCACGAAAAAAAACCATTTGAAATTCATGAATGGAATAAACCATTTAAGGAATTTTCATATCTCTCATTCGTGGTCTTTTTCTCCAACAAAAAAAAATTAAAAAATATTTTGAATATCTCTCTTTTGCTCATTCTCTTGCTCTTTCTTATGCTCACGTAAGTGTACCCATGATGAAAGGCTTCATCCTACAGCAAAAAGCACAGAGTGAGTGGGAGATAGAGAGAGAGAGAAAGAAGAATATTAGTTGTAGTACAAGAATGGGTTGAAGTTGTAGCTGAGAAGTAAAAGTCCAATGAAAATCTTCGTCGACCTGACAATCAAGTGACAAACTTCAAAAGGAGAAGCATCTTCTATTGTATTCTAAGAGATGCTATGCGGAACACAAGAAGAGTAAGAGAAAGATAGAGTAAGAGGTAGAAAGGAAGAGGAGGCAGGAAGAGATTTTCAAGAAAAAAAAAATTTTTTTTTTCCTCAAAAACTAATAGAAAATGGGTGAGAGAATAAAGAAAAAACATTGTTTTCAACTAAAGAAAGGACTGCTGAATGAGATGATGAAGTAACTGATTTTTCATATATAAATTACAAGTAAAGTACGTGGCTAAGGAAGAGAAAAGCTTAAAACAAAGTGGTTTTGTTGTGAAAGATAGATGTAAGCTAAGAAAATTTCGATTCGACCAGTCTGTCTGACTACATAATGTACATACAATTGGAATCATGCAAGCTGTGACACGATGGAGGGAAAGAGGGAGAGTATAGCCAAAGAGAGAGTAGAGAAGACTAAAAAAAAAGATAAGAAGAGAGAGAGCAGAAAAGAAATTCTTTTTTTTTTATTTCAATTTTTTGCTTCCTCCCTCTCTCTTTATCTCCTTATGCCTCTCTTCTTGTCTATCTATCTGAGATCAAAAAAGCTCCAAAATATATGTAAATGAGGAGATGTAAGCTGGTTAACTATATGATACAAAGACAACAACATACTAATAATAATTATTTGTTGTTGTTGATGTTCTTGAGAGTCAAGTAGTTGCTAGAAGCTGGAGAAAGCTTCATTCGCTTTTATTTTATTTTTTTTTTCAAAAAAAAAAAAAGAAGTTCATGAATGAGTTGTCATTTCATACATATTTAACGATCAAAAAAGCAACTTTTGTATGTAAAATTTTTTTGTTTCTGATCTCTGTGAATGACGTTGCAGGTCATTTGCCTTATATGTATGTATAGCTAGCTTGTTGATATAGTATATATATAGTTAAAATGTTATTATAAACATGTTATGAATGTTTGATAGAAGAAATACTATGAATGAAAAAGCAACAACGAGGTAATACTTCCAAGCAAAAAGCTCCAGCTTCAACCCAATCAAGCTTCTCTTTGTAGGGAAGAAGAGAAAAAAAAAACGAATAAGAAGAAGAAGAAGGCGTAGAAGAAGAAGACGAGATATTTGAATTCTACTGAAATGGAAGAAAAAAATATTTTTTTTCTGTAAGAATACTACAGATCTTTTTTTTTTCTCTCTCTAATTCTCTTTCTATTTCTATATTTGATTTACTCTCTGTATATCTTCCTCTAAATCTTTCAATCCTTGTGTGAGATTTTCCAGGAAAAACAAATCTCACGCGTTCACGTGAAGACAATTTCCTAATGAGATATGGGATGCCAAAACGTTTGTTTTTAATTTATGATATTTGAAACAAAAAAATATGTGAAAAACTCAAACAACTCACAACAGGGAAGGAGAGAGGGGGTGTTTGTACTTCGGAGAGACTTGCTGAGTTGAAACGATTAAAAAAAAGGAAAAATTGTGTCAATTAACTTATTGAAGAGTACAACAAGGTGGATGATATGGTAAATGAAGATGTTTTGAGTAAAGAGAGAGAGAGAAAGGGAGGAGAGGAAGAGAGAGTTAGAAGAAGGAAGAAAGAGGGTGAATGAAAGAGTTGAAGCCATTTTTTCTTTTACGTTTGCTCCTTTAAGGAGAACGAAAGGAGATTGGCTGAGTTTGAATGGGAGGAGGGATTGTAGAACTGCAAAGAGCTCAGTAGATGATCGTCCATAGATAGAATATTGGAATAGTTTGTGAAACTTTTAAAGAAAAAATATAAAAATGTGAGTAGAGCATGCTTGAAAATAGAAAAACGATGGAATATAAGACGAAGGTTATTGGCAAAGGATTATTCAATAAGCGGCAGAAGCTCATCACAGATTGTCAAGCACTTTTCAATAAAAAAGGAGAAGATGACGAAAAAAAAGAAGAAGACGAAGGAGTAGATGAGATACGAATATGGCAAGGTTTAGGTCATACGTTTATACATTTTAAAATAAAATTAGAAATAGAAATTGATTTTCTTATTCTTCACTCTCTCTCTACTTTCCCCCCCCCCCCTCCTCTCTTCACTCCCTTAAAAATTGCCAAAGCTGAGCAATCCAGTAGCAGCTGTAATCATGCATTCAAGAATTTTTGAAACTTCATGAAAGAAATAGGAAACAAGCTATTGAATGAAAATTTCTTTCCTTCTTTACAACCAGAAAATTTTATGAAACAAAAAAAAAATCTTTCATTTATTTGAAGATATTTAAGCTTAACACATCTAAGCTTCATAGCTTTTGTGAACTTCTTCCATTTTTTTCTGATTCTATCGCATTCACACGAAATGAAAGAAAATGATTAAAGAAAGAATTTTTCTTTGTCAAAATTTATAAAATAAGATCAAAGCTCGAATGAAGGGATTCTATGTAAGCTTCATCTTTCCTGAATCAATAGACTGACTAACTTACCTTCATATCTAGGTCTGTACAACTGTTGTACATGCTCTCCATGGAGATGCTTGACTTAAGGCTATCATGATGAACGGTATTCCATAAAAGTTGACGTTCACTTGCTGTCATAGGAGAAGCTGATGATTGACAACGTATAGAAGGTGAACCTAGAAAGAAAGAGAGAGTGAGTATTATTAATATATGAAAAATGTTCAAGTTGAATATGATGTCATCTGATAAAGCCTAAAGTGAGAATGGAAAGAATAGGAGAAATATGAAAATGGTGAGATCGAGATGAGAGCAAAAGAATGGGAGGAAGAAATGGAGCAATGGAGGTCTCCTACATCTTCAGTCGGTCTTTATTAAATGAAAAATAACAATCCATATATAGAATAAAGATTAACAAACTACAGACGGCTGCGGTATAGTCAAAGAGAGATAGAGAGATGATCATAGTTTGAAAGATACAACGAGTAACAATCTCATATTATCATTATTTTTTTTATTTTTTTTATTTTAAATATAAAAAAAAAGAAGAAAAGAAGTAATTCTTACCTAATACATTATTATGAGCAGCTGTTTTCATATTGACTACCGTTGAGAACGATAACTTACGAGGAGGAAGCAACCGGGATGGTGAACATGGGCTTGGTGCTGAAATATTAAAATAAAATAAAAAAATTGAAATAAAGAAAACAAGGAATGTATCAGAGTGGAACAACCGATTCACACGTTTGTGTGAATCCAAAATGCACATATAGTCCTGTTCCACGTATTTAACGTAAAATTTCACGTAAAATCTTAATTTGAATAAAACACGTCACAAGAGATCACTAATTATGTGGTGTTTAGCATATGTTGATGTGTGATTATGTTAAATCTTTTTTGTAATTAAATTTAAAAATATCTTTTTAACTATTAAAATATGCAAATGAGGTATATGTATATGTGTATATTAATAGATAAATAGATATTATGATGATGTATAAATGTATATATATAGATAGATAGATAGATAGAGTTAGAAGGTGACTGTTACATCATGAATTAGCATAATTAAACATATAGTTAATGAGATAATGTATGATGTTGCCATATTTGAGTACAAAAACAGTCATCATCAACGTCATTCTAATTAGAAAGTTGAAAAATAAAATGAAAATTCAGGTGTTTGATAGAAAAAAAGATGTTCCAATTTCTATTATTTCACATCGATTTTCCTCATAGATTGAAACACAGAAAAAAAAAAGAAGATGAAGATGAAGAAGACAGCAACTGTCAAAACAATGTTTGTCGACAACTTTTAGGAATTATATGAAGCGAAAATCAAATTAATAAATATGATTATTTATTTATTTTAAAAGATGAATATGTGAAATGCAAAAAAAATGAATTTTGGAAAAGATGTGTGGAAAAAAAAATTTTCTTTTTTTCCTTTTTTTTGTTTCCTCTTACCGTTAGGACTGAGTGGCCTTTCAAAACTTCCGCTTGAATCGTTCGCTCGTGCAGATGTTTTACGTGTAGTTTCTGAAGCAGCTTCTTTGAATGGAGGTGGACTATCGGTATTTGAGCTGCAATGAGTAAAGAGAATGTTATGACCTTAGGCTATTTAAATGATGATGAAGGAGAGAGGGAGAGAGAGAGGAGAAGGAGGAGGGTTGGGTTAAAAAAGGTTTTTACTCTTTCAAGCAAATAAAAGAAAAATTGATAAGACATAATAAACACAAAAAAAAGGAGAATGACGAAGACTGAAGAAGAATGGAATGGAACAGAGAGCATTGAGATGTGTGAGCTAAACGAGATGAGAAAGAGTGAAGATGAGAGGTGCCAGTTGAAACTGGATGAGATTGATGATAAGGCAAGCGCTAACGAAAAGATAAAAAATCTTAAAGAAACTTTTCTGAACACATGTTTAATGAATGACAGAATAAATTATATATTTAACTATATATAAGTGTAAGTATGAATATATATATATATAGTTAACTATATTTATTCATCCATTAAATTTTGATGAAATACATGCTCTTTCAATTAATTTGCTGCTGCTATTGCTAGCTGGCGTTGCTGCTGGCGTCAATATCGTTTTGTTCATGTTCATCATTTATCTTTGAAAATTTTTGTTTTTATAATAGTAATAATAAAAAAAAGAATAAGAAGAAGAAAAAGTAGCCGACGAATATTAATAAAGGATGGATTGGGATACAGTGAATGAGAGAGAGAGAGAGAG